TTATCATATATTTTGTAATATATAAAAATGCATTTCAACGTGCAGTATATATATATATATATATATATATATATATATACTATATATATATATATATATTTATTTATTGAAATATATTGAATATGGGCAAAATTGTAGTATTTTAAATATATGTCAATATATTTAGGAAGAATATTTTCAAAATATATTTCAAATATATTTTTTTTTCCATGTGGGTACACCAGGCGATTATAATGAACCAGACCCTTTCTTTCAGAATCAGTCTGCAAAGGACCTGGTGAAGCATACATAGAGCAAACATCAGGGCAAAGGACAAGGTAGGAATCTGCTACAAAGTTTGTTAAAATGCTTGCAATGTACATCGAACATCCAATGATGTTTTTTTTCTCAACAAAAAGGAAGTTAATCTTTAAAGTCTAATTCCAAACTCAAGATCCACTGCTTCTTCTAGCTCTCCACCCTTTGGAGTACCTCTGTACCCTTTCAATAAATCTGTATACATCATTTTGGTGTTGTTGTTCTGGTTACATGACGTTACAGGTCCCCTTCACTTTTTTTGTCCTCTGGTGGTGGGGAGATCCTAAGTGCTGCAGAGTGGCACCAAGTCATTATGTAGTGCTGCTCTCTGCAGCACTCTACTGTGAATCCAGTAAAGGGGTCAGGTCCTTAATGCCTAGGGCCCATAGGCAGGGCTGCCTTGAGAAATCACCAGGCCCTGTACAGCCTACCTGACAGGTCACACCGCTCACCCCCCTCTGATAATATAAAATCATATCTTTGCTAAAATGTAGCAGGTGCGATGCTATCCCACATGGAAGAAAAATATATTTGAAATATATTTTAAAAATATTCTTCCCAAATATATTGCCATATATTTGAAATACTACAATTTTGAACATATTTAATATAATTCAAAATATATTTCAATAAATGCAGTATGTATGTATGTATGTATGTATGTATGTATATTATATTGCATGTTGAAATGCGTTATTACAAAATATAGAAAAATATTTTTTAAAATACATTTCAAATATACTGTATGTCTGTAAAAATACAAATCTACATTTTTTAAATGCATTTACAAATATATGTAAACATATATGTTAAAATGACTTTTTTATATGTTAAAAAAAATCTGAAGAATATATTTAAAAAAATATATTTTTAAAAATATGGATAACCATGGCAGGAATTATACCCCACATCAGCAAAGACTCATTCAAGTGATTAGCACTGCTCTGCAAGCACGTTCAATGTTCGCATGCGGGGTTAATTGATTGCCTGTCAAACGCTCTCTGCAGAGTAATCCAAATGCTGACTGCTTTTCTCAGAGAGCAAAGCACATTTGAACAAGTCCTTGATTTTTACATTTGTTTTTTATAACTTTAAAAAATCTTTTTTTTTGCATTTTTTAGAATGTTATTTTTTTTGTATATTTTTTTTTAGCTACCCTGTTTAGGGGCTTTGGCGAAATATTAGGGGTATAAGCAGGCCCCTGATGTTTCACATTTGAGACAGGGAAAGGGACTGATGACATTTCTCATTTCTTTTCTCTGCAGAGATGAATGAATAGGAAGTGCTCTGAGGCTTCCTGTTCATTCACAAACTGAAGCATAGTAAACACATTTCACTATGCTTCGGTGATGAATAGACACAGTAGCAATTGGTAGCAATCACTTCCTGTGTTCATTTAGGAAAGGAAGGGATGGTAAGTAGGACCGATTTAAGTGTCGTCCCCCCCTGCTCTCCATACTGAAACTGTCCCCCTGTGTGCCTGCAGCACCTGCAATTGAAAGAGGAGAGGAGGGAAGCTGGCAACGCTGCTGGGGATACAGCGGGGTCCAACAGCAGGTGGAAGGGGGTACAGATTTAAGAACCGACACCACCCCCAGCTCAGCGAATACCAATAGTTGATTGAAAAATCCACCCACAGAAAGAAATTCAGAGTCAATTCAGCAGCAACTGTCCAAGATCCGGGTACAGTCAGCTTTAGAAAGTACTGAAGCCAGGGAACTAGCATTTTCAGACGTTATTCATTTCCGTCTCTATACCACCTTAGTACAGAATTCCTCCAATAATAAAACAGTGCACCGCTCACGGCACAGGCATATCACGGGAATTGGGTTTGCGTCTGTGCATGGTGCGTTGAAGTATATTTAAAGCCAAATTTTTTTTTTCCAATTGTGGACAGAGTAGTAAATCAGGGCTCAACAAATCCCAGGAGCCAGATCGCCATGGCGACAAGAAATTGCATCCTGGGTATTTGTCAGCCCATTCACTGACAGGTATCCATGCTCCCCGAACAACTCCGCTCTCTCCTCGCAGATCAGGCCGCTCAGCTTTGCTTTCACTTCCCCCGGGCTGGCTGTGCCCACTACCAGCACTTGCACTCCATCAACCTCACTCTGAAACAGCCCCATCTTCTCCATACACTCCCCCATTTCCCCTAGGGACAGGGACCTCATCTCCAGACTTTGCAGGCTGGCAGAGCTGACACCACTTTCCCTATAGTGCCAGGATAAGGGGGGGGGGGCAGTAAAATCCAAATCCTCAGCCCAGCAATACAAGCACTGGGTGGCTTGATACCCAGGAAAGGGGGTGTTTTGGGTTCAGCATTACCAGTGTGGGGTAGCTGGAGTGGAGGGGGGTGTAGTACCAGTGTGGGTTGCTCTGAGGAAGGCAGTTTGACTCCCAAAACGCGTTAGCACTTTTCACCCAAGGACCTCCGCTGTCCACAATTCTCAGCTTTGGCTCATTGTCTCTGTTTTTATGACCTTTTGGTTTGTGAGTATGAATTTGTGATTTTACAATAAATTTCCTATATATCACGGTAATGCAGGAGGAGAGCACGCCCTGTTTTATTCTTTTTTTACCAGTGTGGGTTGCCATGGATTGGGAGAGGGGTAGAGGGGTTTAGTAGTGCGGGGTGGCTGGAGGATGAGGTGGGGGTACAGCAATACAAGGTGGGGTACTGGAGGGATGGGGGGGCACAGCAGTACCAGGGTGGGGTGGCTGGAGGATGAGGTGGGGGGTACAGCAATACAAAGGTGGGGTAGCTGGAGGATGAGGGGGGGCACAGCAGTACCAGGGTGGGGTGGCTCTGAGGATGACGTGTGGGGGGATACAGCAATACAAGGTGGGGTAGCTGGAGGATGAGGGGGGGGGGGCATACCAAGGGTGGGGGTAGCTGAAGAATGATAGGTGAGGAGTACAGCAGTACCAGGTGAGTAGCTGAAGGATGAGGGGGGCACACAGCAGTACCAGGGTTGGGGTAGCTGAAGATGAGGTGAGGGTCACAGCAAATACCAGGTGGGGTGGCTGGAGGATGAGGTGGAGGTAGTTTCACAGCAGTACCTCAGGGGTAGGGTAACTGAAGGATGAACGTGGGGGTACAGCAGTACCCAGGGTGGTGGGGTAGCTGAAAGGATAGGATGTGTGGGCACAGCATTACCAGGGTGGGGTTGTGCTGAGGATGAGGTGAGGAGTGTCAGCATACCCAAGGGTGGGTAAACTGAAGGATGACGTGGGGTACAGCAGTACCAGGGTGGGGTAGCTGGAAGACGGGGGGGGGGGGGTGCCAAAATGCATCTTCGCCACTGTAGACAAAAAATCTTTGCATCAGTTCTAGGAACAGGCGACATGACACAACTGGCTCCTAGATTCAAAACAAATCTGTAGTAAATGGTAAAAAAAAAAAGTCCTGTCAGTATTTTATTACTATCAGTGTCCCATCGGGGAGAATTTTCCCTCCACTTCCTGTCCCATAGACTCAGGCAGGATATGAGAGGAAATCTCTCCAAAGGAAAGGGAATTCCTCGTTAGAAAACTTTTTTGTTTTGGATTTTTTGGATTTTCTTTCACCTTCTGTCCTGATGACCAGTGATGGTTTGTCATGGAATTGGGGGGAGGGGTAGATGATCGTATAGAGGGGGTAAAATCTCCCTAGCGGGGGCACAGGTCCTCAATAGAATCCTGACTGGGGTTCTAACTCTTTTTTACTATATCCTTAAAGTATTACTAAACCCACAACAGTAAAATCAGTCTGTATATGCAGTAAAGCAATGCTTGTTAGACTGCACTGTGGGAACCTAAGGGGTTAATCCTCTGCATTGTGTCAAAAGGCTTTGCTTGATCAGAGGGTCAGGTGTCATGCACCTCATAGGACAGAGACTGGAACTCACCCAAGCACTACTGCTATAATCCTGATAGAATCTGGAGACCGGTGCTCAGGCTTGGAACGTTCACTTGTCAGCATGTGATACATTCGAAAAGGATACAGCTGTCTTCACGGATGCTTCTCAATGTAATTTCTTTATTTTTCACAAACTTATTGGTACATGATCTTCTGATGCTTGACTGCGTGCCGTACCTCAAAGCAACGAAACGCATCAGTACCAATAAGTTGTGACCAATAAAGAAATGACATTGAGAAGCATCCCTGTATCCTACTGAAAGCAGCCTCACAAGGAAGTCAGAGGAGAATGAAAACTCCTACAAGATTAAACCAGTGCTCAGCTGAACACTGATAGAAGTCACAAGACTGCTATAATACTGCTGATGATTAAATGTATTTATCAGTTTCTATTTACTAAAATTATTGCATTTGCATGTTCTGTGTACTGTGGGAGACCAGATATAGTGAAAATGCAGGGTCTGGGGAGATCAAATTATAGTGAATGCAGTGGTCCTGAGGGGAGATTCAAGATATTAGTGAATGCCAGAGACCTCTGTAGACCAGAAATAGTGAATGCTCAAGGGTCCGGGAGACCAGATATTAGTGAAATGCAGGGTCTGGGGAGATCAATATAGTGAATGCAGGGTCCCGGGAGACCGATATATAAGTTATAGTCAGAGCCTGGGAGACCCAGATATAGTGAAAGCAGAGGTCCAAGGAAACCAGATATAGTGGAATGCATGTTCCCGGGGAGACCAGATATATTGGAATGCAGAGTCCGGGGATACCAGATATAGTGAAAGTGCAGGTCCCGGGGAGACCAGATATAGTGAATGCCACCAGGGTCCCTGGGAGAACCAGATAAAGTAGTGAAAGCAGGGTCCTTGGAGACCACATATAGTGAATGCGGGTTGCCGGGGGTGACCAGATATAGTGACTGCAGGTATCCCGGGGAGATCAGATATAGTGAATGCAGGGTCCCCGGGGAGATCAAATTATAGTGAATGCAGGGTCCGAAGAGACCAGATATAACTGAATGCAGTGTCCTGGTAGAGCCAGATAAACTGAATGCAGGGTTCTAGGAGACCAGTATATAGTGATTTCGGGTCAGGTCCAGGGAGACCAGCATAATAGTGAATGCAGGGCTGGGAGGTGAGATGCAGGGTTTTGGGAGAGCCAGAAAATAGTGGAATGCAGGGTCGGGGAGAACCAGATATAGTGAGTGCATGGTTCTGGGAAGACCAGATATAGTGAATGCAAGGGTCCGGGGAGAAACAGATATAGTGAATGCAGGATCCTGGGAGTGACCAGATATAGTGAAAGCAGGGTCCATGGGAAAACAGCTATAGTGAATGCATGGTCAGGGGGGGACCCGGGAGACGCAGATATAGTGAATGCTCGAGTCCGGGGATACCAGATATATAGTAGAATGCAGAGTTCCGGGGAGACCAGATAATACTGAATCGCAGGGTCCTGGGAGACCACATATAGTGAATTGCGGGTGGCGTGGTAGACCAGATACTAGTGAATGCAGGGTCCAGGGGAGATGCAGAATATAGTGTATGGCAGGGTTCCGGGAGAGTCAAATGATAGTGAATTGCAGGGTCCTGGTGAGACCAATATACTGAATGCAGGGTCCAGAGGCCGGATATAGTGAATGCAGGGTTTTCTGGAGACCAGATATGGTGAATGGCAGGGTTCTGGGAGACCAGATATAGTGAATGCAGGGTCCTGGGGAGACCAGATATGTGAAGTGCAGGGTTCCTGGGAGACCAGATATAGTGAATGCAGGGTCCGGAGGAGAACAGACATAATGAATGCAGGGTTCGGGGTAGATCAGATATAGTGAATGCAGGGTTCCTGGAAGACCAGATATAGTGAATGCAGGTGGTCCGGGGAGATCAGATAAGTGAATGCAGGGTCCGGGGGAGACCAGATATAGTGAATGCAGGGTCCGGAAGACCATAATATGTGTATGCTGCAGGGTCCTGGAGACCAGATATAGTGAATGCAGGGTCCGGGGGAGACCAGATATAGTGAATGCAGGGTCCTGGAGACCAGATATAGTGAATGCAGGGTCCGGGTAGACCAGATATAGTGAATGCAGGGTCCGGGGAAGACCAGGATATAGTGAATGCAGGGTCCGGGGAGACCAGATATAGTGAATGCACGGTCCGGGGAGATCAATATAGTGAATGAATGCAGGGTCCTGGGAGACCAGATATAGTGAATGCAGGGTCCGGGAGACCAGATATAGTGTAAGTTGCAAGGGTTTCTGGAGACCAGATATAGTGAATGCAGGGTCCGGGAGACCAGATATAGTAAATGCAGTGTCCGGGGAATCAGATATAGTGAATGCAGGATCCTGGAGACCATATATAAAGAATGCAGGGTCCAGAGAGATCAGATATAGTGAATGCAAGGTCCGGAGACCAGATATAGTGAATGCAGGGTCCGGGGAGACCGGAATATAGTGAATGCAGGGTCCGGGAGACCAGATATAGTGAATGCAAGGTCCCCTGGGAGACCAGATATAGTGATGCAGGGTCCTGGAGACCAGATATAGTGAATGCAGGATCCTGGGAAATCAGATATAGTGAATGCAGGATCCTGGAGACCAGATATAATGAATGCAGGGGTCCAGGGAGATCAGATATAGTGAATGCAGGATCAGGGGAGACCAGATATAGTGAATGCAGGGTTTCGTGGAGACCAGAATATAGTGAATGCAGGGTCCGGGGAGACCAGATATAGTGAATGCAGGGTCCGGGGAGACCAGATATAGTGAATGCAGGGTTCTGGGAGACCAGATATAGTGAATGCAGGGTTTTCTGGGAGACCAGATATAGTGAATGCAGGGTCCGGGGAGACCATATATAGTGAATGCAGGGTTCTGGGAGACCAGATATAGTGAATGCAGGGTTCCGAGGTTTAGTAACACTTTACCTAAAAAAAAAAAAGAAAGTTGCTGCTGCCATTTAGTACTGTGTTCAGCCCAATCCTGCCATAGAATTTGATAGGCTGCCAGCAGCGGGTCTGGATGCTGCACTTTTCCCCCTTCATCCCCTCTCAGCACCAGTTAAACTAGCCATAAACTTGAGAAGCCGGTCACCTAAGATTTATGGCAGGGACAGTCCTGACCTCTTCCAACCCCAGAAGCCGGGTCAACATTTGCTTCTTGGGAGTCAGAGCCCCTAGGCCACTCTGCAAGATCCATTGCCACTCCTGCAGGTGCTTTTCATGACTACAACATTTAAACGAAGTACAGGCTCATGTTAAAGTCCTGAATACAATTTCCTTTGAAGAACAACTGAAACAATTGCTGTGTTTAAAAAAAAAATACTTGTTTTAGACCTGTGCAATTCATTTAGTTATGAATTGAAATTCAGACAACATTTTTGTTATTCAGAGATTTGGTTGTACCAGAATTTCCGAATCACAATAGTAACTCCCAAAAAATTATAACGAAACAAATGATTCGAATTAGAAAATTAATTTGAATTCGAAATGGAAACATATTGCAATAAATACAGTAAACTATAAAAGTGAAATGAGGTGGTTTCTACTAAGGCTGCTGAATAGAATAGCATAGAACAGAGTAGAATAAAACAGAATAGAATACAATACAATAGTATAGAATAAAAAAGAAAAGAAAAAATAGAACAGAAGAGGAAAAAATGGAAAAAAAAAAGAATAGAATTGAATAGGATAAAAAAAAAAAAGGAATAAAATAAAAGTGAAATAAAATGACGATTTCTACAAAGGCTGCTGAATAGAAAAGAATAGCATAGAACAGAGTAGAATAAAACAGCATAGAATAGAATACAATAGTATAGAATAAAAAAGAAAAGAATAGAAAAAATAGAAGAGAAAGAAAAAAACAGAATAGAGTAGAATAGAATGAAAAAAAAACTGAAAAGAATTCAATAGGGTTAAAAAAAAAAATAAAAAATAAAATAAAATGAAATAAGATGATGATTTCTACTAAGGCTGCTGAACAGAATAGCATAGAACAGAGTAGAATAAAACAGAATAGAATACAATAGTACAGAATAAAAAAAAAAAACAAATAGAAATAAATAGAATAGAAGAGAAGAGAAAAAAAAAAGAATAGAGTAAAATAGAATGGGAAAAAAGAGTGGAATTGAATAGGATAAAAAAAAAATAAAGGAACAAAATGAAAGTGAAATAAGATGATGATTTCTACTAAGGCTGCTGAAAAGAATAGAATAGCATAGACCAAAGTAGAACAAAACAGAATAGAATACAATAGTATAGACTAAAAAGAAAATAATAGAAAAAAATAGAAAAGAAAAAAAAAAGAATAGAGTAGAACTGAATGGAAAATGAAAAGAAAAAATAGGATAAAAAAGAATTAAAAAGAATAGAATAAAACAGAATAGAAAAGAAAAACATAGAATAGGATTGAATAGGATACAAAATAAAGGAATGAAATAAAATGATGATTTCTACAAAGGCTGCTGAACAGAATAGCATAGAACAGAGTAAATAAAACAGAAAAGAATACAATAGTATAGAATAAAAAAGAAATAAATAGAATAGAAGAGAAGAGAAAAAAACAAAGAGTAAAATAGAATGGGAAAAAAGAGTGGAATTGAATAGGATAAAAAAAAAATAAAGGAACAAAATGAAAGTGAAATAAGAAGATGATTTCTACTAAGGCTGCTGAAAAGAATAGAATAGCATAGAACAAAGTAGAATAAAACAGAATAGAATACAACAGTATAGACTAAAAAAGAAAAAAATAGAATAGAAAAGAAAAAAACAGAATAGAGTAGAACTGAATAAAAAATGAAAAGAACTGAATAGGATAAAAAATAATTAATAGAATAGAATAAAACAGAATAGAAAAGAAAACATAGAATATGATTGAAAAGAATGGAATAGAATAAAACAGAATAGAATAGAGAATATAATATAATAGTATAGAATAAAAAAAAAAAAAAATGGAATTGAAAAGAATTGAATAGATAAGATAAAAACAGAATAGAATGGAAAATAAAACAATAGAATAAAATAGAACAGAATAGAATAGATAATAAAGGACCAGAACAGAATAGAACACAATAGACTATAATAGAACAGAATATAACAGAATATATTAGCATAGAAAAGAATAGAATGGAAAATAAAGAATAGAATATAAAAGATTAGAATAGAAAATAAAAGAGCAGAATAGAATAGAAAATAAAATAATAGAATAGAAAACAAAATAAAAGAATAGAATAGGAAAAAAATAGCATAGAATAATAAGAATATAGCCATCTTTTGAAATTTGAATTTCAAATAGAATAGAATGAATATAGCCGTCTTCCAAAATTCGATTTTCTAATCAATTCGAAAATAACAAATATATACGAAACAAATTAGCAGTTTCTACGCACATAAATTATGCCCATAATCGCCTCTCAGGATGCACCTTTGGAGCGTATATTTTTTTTGGCCATGCATACATGAAGTGATTACATAGGTGTGAATACCCATGTGATCCGATTCTAGTGCGGACAAAGAAAAGGGCCCTGCACGTTTTTGGTGCAGGTGCGGTGCGATCACACCGCACACAAATCGCATCTGATTCACACAGGAATGCGGTGCGTTTCCTGTGCAAATCACATGCGATATACCGCACCGCATGTATGTGAATCCAGGCTCACAGCTCCGGACATCCCTGGGAAGAAGAGTCAGGCTCTGCATACACTGCCAAGCACAGCCCCTCTTGGATCCCACCTGCTCCCCATGCCGCGTGTGTTCCTTCTTCCAAGTAACAGTGCTGCCCCCCCCTGAAAAATGCCGCCTTAGGCAAACGCCTTGTTTGCCTTGTGGTAAATACTCCTCTGCCCCCAGCAGTGGCATTTTCTCTGCCCGTGTGTATGAGGCCAAAACATTCTTTTTGAACATGCCTGTAAATGCCTATGTGTACATGGCCACCTAGGCCAGGGGCGAGTAACTGTGGCCCTCCAGCTGTTGGTGAACTACAAGTCCCATCATGCCTCTGCCTTTTATTGGTGTGAATGAGTTGCCGGTTCTTCACCTTATACTCTCATGCTGTTTAAGGTGCTAGGAAAGCACTTGTGAGCTTTGGAGCACCATTGGTCTACCTCTAAAGGAAATCAACCTAGGCATATATTTTCATTTGTGAACAAAATGATATTTAGCTCTGTATTCTCTAAAAGGAGCGGTACTGGGAGATGGGTAGGGGGTGGAACCAAGTGAAGGTGCTCGGAAGTGGGTAGGGGGTGGAACCAAGTGAAAGGTGCTCGGAAGTGGGTAGGGGGTGGAACCAAGTGAAGACGCTTGGAGGAGGGTAGGGGGTGGAACCAAGTGAAGGTGCTCGGAAGTGGGTAGGGGGTGGAACCAAGTGAAGGTGCTCAGAGGTGGGTAGGGGGTGGAACCAAGTGAAGATGCTTGGAGGTGGGTAGAGGGTGGAACCAAGTGAAGGTGCTCGGAAGTGGGTAGGGGGTGGAACCAAGTGAAGATGCTTGGAGGTGGGTAGAGGGTGGAACCAAGTGAAGGTGTTCGGTGGTGTGTAGGGGGTGGAACCAAGTGAAGGTGCTTGGAGGTGGGTAGGGGGTGGAAACAAGTGAAGGTGCTTGGAGGTGGGTAGGGGGTGGAACCAAGTGAAGATGCTCGGAGGTGGGTAGGGGGTGGAACCAAGTGAAGGTGCTTGGAAGTGGGTAGGGGGTGGAACCAAGTGAAGGTGCTCAGAGGGTGGTAGGGGTGGAACCAAGTGAGGTGCTTGGAAGTGGGTAGGGGGTGGAACCAAGTGAAGGTGCTCGGAGTTGGGTAGGGGGTGGAACCAAGTGAAGACGCTTGGAGGAGGGTAGGGGGTGGAACCAAGTGAAGGTGCTCGGAAGTGGGTAGGGGGTGGAACCAAGTGAAGGTGCTTGGAAGTGGGTAGGGGGTGGAACCAAGTGAAGGTGCTCGGAAGAGTGGGTAGGGGGTGGTGGAAACTTGGAGAAGGGCTCGGAGGGGGTAGGGGGTGGAACCAAGTGAAGTGAAGGTGCTCGGAAGTGGGTAGGGGATGGAACCAAGTGAAGGTGCTCAGAGGTGGGTAGGGGGTGGAACCAAGTGAAGATGCTTGGAGGTGGGTAGGTAGGGGTGGAACCAAGTGAAGGTGCTCGGAAGTGGGTAGGGGGTGGAACCAAGTGAAGGTGCTTGGAGGAGGGTAGGGGGTGGAACCAAGTGAAGGTGCTCGGAAGTGGTAGGGGGTGGAACCAAGTGAAGGCTTGGAGGTGGGTAGAGGGTGGAACCAAGTGAAGGTGTTCGGTGGTGGTGTAGGGGGTGGAACCAAGTGAAGGTGCTCGGTGGTGTGTAGGGGGTGGAACCAAGTGAAGGTGCTTGGAGGGGTAGGGGGTGGAACCAAGTGAAGGTGCTTGAGGTGGGTAGGGGGTGGAACCAAGTGAAGATGCTCGGAGGTGGGTAGGGGGTGGAACCAAGTGAAGGTGCTCGGAAGTGGGTAGGGGGTGGAACCAAGTGAAGGTGCTCAGAAGTGGTGGAACGGGTAGGGGGTGGAACCAAGTGAAGGTGCTTGGAAGTGGGTAGGGGGTGGAACCAAGTGAAGGTGCTCGGAGTGTGGGTAGGGGGTGGAAAGTGAAGGTGCAAGTGAAGGGGGTGGAACCAAGTGCTCGGAGGTGGGTAGGGGGTGGAACCAAGTGAAGGTGCTCGGAAGTGGGTAGGGGTGGAACCAAGTGAAGGTGCTCAGAGGTGGGGTAGGGGTGGAACCAAGTGAAGATGCTTGGAGGAGGGTAGGGGGTGGA